TTCCAAACTAAACATCTGACAAGGAGGGTCCAAAATATACTAGGAACTCAGTATTCCTCCCCTAAAAAACCTGACTAAAAATAGGCGAAAGACCTAAGGATTTCTCAGAAAAAGACGCATTTATCTCCAGCAGATGTATGAAAAAATCCTCAACATCACTAATCATCAGGGAAATGCAAATCAAAATCTCAGTGAGACCACCTTAAATTTGAGGAGCTGTTACCACAAAGACAAGATAGCCTGCGCTGGTAAGAACATGGAGAAAAGATAACCTGTACACACTGCTGGTGGTAAATTAGTAAAGCTATTATGCAAAACAGTATGGAGGTTCCTGAGAATCTACAAACTAGGGCCACGGTATGATCTAGCAATCCCATTACTGGGCACGTACCGAAGGAAACGAACTCAGCAATGTCAGAACCACGTTTACTGCAGCACTGCAGTGCAGTGCTCACCATCAGATGATGGACCAAGAGAATGTGGTACTCATCTACACCACACAATACTGTGCAGTATGGTAACAGATGAAATTCTGTCATTTGCAACAACACATATGAACATGGAAAGATATTAAGTGAAATAAAGCAGAAACAGAAAGACAAATGCAATGACTGTGTGATCTACTCACAGGTGCAATCTACAAAAGAAAAAACCCAGCCCCATAGAAGAAGAGAGTAGAAGGCAGTTATCAGAGGCCAGAGAGGGGAAGCAAGAATTCACATAGTTCAGTAAAAGTATCATAATATTTGGCATAGACCTAATGTAAAATAATCAGTTCTCTGAAATAATGTCGCTCTTTATTTCACCTCTGCTAGAAAGAAGTAATCTTACCCCTCTCTAAATTACATCATAAAGTGGTTTTTTTTGGTACTGGGGATCAAACTCAGGACCTTGCGGTAGCCAGGCAGGCGTGGTGCCACTGAGCTGAATCCCCAGCCCCATCATAAAGTATATGACATTAGAATATTAGTTACTTATTTCAATTATAGAGTCAATTGTGTATGGTTTACAAGAGGGGCAAATTTGTATAACTTTAAACAAGTGGTGACTACCATAAAATTATATATGTCGTTCCAAAATATTACCAGCCACTTGTGTATACCTTTTACCAAAAAAGACAGAAACTCAATAGGTTGGTCCTGTTCTAACTCCGAGAAGGACAATGAGTGAAAATGGCCTGACAAGCCAGGCTGTGCCTCACATACTCATACGTTTAAAGCCCTTGAGATTTTCATTATCCGTAAAGGAGAAGAAGAACAAATGGCACTAACAGATTTGTCGTACAAATAAACCCAAATGTGACAACTGCCCTTTCTCCTCATTTCTCTTACGGCAGTTCAGGCGGGAGGCAGTGAACAGCAGACACACTCCTGAGAGCGGCAGTGAGCGCGAGCACTGCGCTGTCCAGGTCAGCCTTGGGCCTCCCAGGCTCACGCTGTCCTCCTGCCTCAGTCCCCCAAGTTACAGAGCTACTCTGTCAAATCACTAATACATGATCATCTAATATCTACTTGTAGGAAGCTTAAGATTTACTAAGTAGGCTTATAAAATACGCAAGTATATTCAATGTTCGCAAAATGCTGTTGAGAATATTCCTAAATTTAAAATATTTATTTTTTTCATTCTCCTACATCTGTGGCGCAAGAGAAATATTAGATTAAATACGTAACAAAATGTAAGAAAAGTTTTCTTACTGTAAGATATAATTAACTCTGCATTGTAAATAAATGATTTGGCACTATTCTCTGATTATTTCGGGAATAAGCCACGGCATTCAGTTATTTCTGTAGATCAGTTTGCCTTGCTTCCAACTAATAAAAGTAATTATGTAAATAACAGTATGAAATTCTGGGTGTAACAATATAAAAGCAAAGCTTTATTTCTTTCAATTTAAATACTGCATAAAAATAATACAGAATTCCCTGGAATGTGTTTTACGATACCCTAACCCCATGAGATACGCTAACTAAAAGGGATCCTGGTCACATTTTTAGAGAAAACTGTATTATATTCTCCCTGGAAAATTCATAATGTATGATAGCAAATTAATGATTCTGAAGAGTTCTGATGAAAACCCTAAAAGCTTGTTTAGCTATTTAAATCCAGACTTTAAAGTTCAATGATCTATATTGAGGTTTTCTAAATAAATGCACAGCATTAGAATTTCCAGAGTCAAGGACGTAGCTCAGTGGTGCCTCACAAGCACAAGGTACTGAGTTCGATTCCTGGTACCAAAAAATCTCTACTTAATGAAATGCTGAAAGTTCTTCTACAAACAAACACAGGTTAACAACAAAATCTGTCCAGTTGATAAATAATTTATGGACTTTAACCCTTTCAGTATAGGATTTCTTTTAAATCAAAAAGTTAAGTTTTTCACAGAAAGGAGGCAAGTATATTAACTAAAAGAAATTATACTTTCCATGTTACAGTCTAAAAACTAGACAAATACTAAAATTAAAAGATTTATAATGCCTTTACTTTAAACAGTATTCAATTGTGTAAGAACCATGAAAATGCTATGCTAACTGAGGGGTACAGTGTCATTCTGGCTCAGAGCAGACTCTCTGCTTCCTACATCATGGACAACATTCACATGCAGAAATGCGGTGAAGTAAATTCTGCATTAGCATGTCAGTTCTCTGTTCCATCCCATTCTGCTAGTGTTATCAAACTGGCACCACAGTAACCACGAGCTGTATACTAAGGTTGTAGGAGGCATATGTAAAATAACTGGGCTATAAAGATGTTTCTCTTTTTTAGTACCAGGGATCGAATTCAGAACAATCTTTGCTTGCCAGGCAGGCACGATGCCGCTGAGCTACATCCCCAGCCCTATAAAGACTTTTTATGCTGGACAACTTTTAAAAAAGTGTCTTATAAAACAAAGATTTTTCACTACAAACTATGAAAAGAGACGTTGGTAGGTACTTACTTAAAGTCGAATAAAATCAGAAATCATGTGCACTTTTATTCTTAATAACCAAATAAAATGGTTTGTTTTTAATCTGTATACAGGAATCATATAGATCTTTATTTTGTAGTATAGCCAAAATCCTCTTTAATAACATAATTAACTGTTTAATGCCTGTACTTCATAAACAGAAGAAATAGTAACAAATAATAACCAACACATTTTTTTACCATTGATTATAATGTTCTTCTTATATAGAAAGAAAATGTACTATTGTTCTGATAAGAACTCCCAGGCTATGAAATACAGCTGCAGGTTGTAGGGCTTCTAATGTTGTTAAAACAAAAGTGCAAAACAGTCATTAGTTTTCATTTACTTCCTATACATTATGTTCTAGATGATACATTACGCTCCATTTACAAGGGTCTACTATTCAGGGTCGGGGGTTTAGCTCAGTGGCGCCACACCTGTCTCGCAAGCGCAAGGTCCGGAGTTTGATCCCCAGTACCCCCCGCAAAAAAGTCTACTATTCCTAGGATTCACTGGGCGTGGCCTGGAGAATACAGCTAATATGTATGCCATTTTGGCTGAGATTCTCCACGGTATTTACAAAAATGAATATATCACATTTATAAAAATGGTAAGTGGAATTTTTCTTTTAAAGCTGATTTGGACAGTATAATAGCTCAATAGCTTAAATCCTATCTAGAAAAGAAAAACTCAAATATTACTCAAAAAGCAGCCCATTATATTGTAAAATATGGCAAACTCTTCCTGCACCGAGAGGCAGCAGGGTAAGAGCACGCTGGGCGCACATCAAGGCCTGTCTCGCGGGTCCAGGCGACCCGTCACAATGCATCACCTACAGGCGTGCGGGGAGTGGTGCGGGGTGACGAGGCTGAGCCCAGGGGACCCAGGCTTTCCTGTAGCTACCACTAGTTAACTGTGTGCTTTAGGGACGCTGGTCTTTCTGCACGTGTGAAATGAAGGTGACAGTAAGAACATGCATCACGACTCTGTGGCCTATGTCTCAGAGCTGCCCAGTAATCGTGATGAGACACTCTCCTGCACTGATTTTGTTACACAGGACATTTAGCTGTCCTCTTGAAATCATTCAGCCATTGTTTCGACAACTATCTACTGAATGCCTTCTGTATGTCAGGCAGTATTCTAGGCATTAGGGATTGGAACTGATCAATAATCTTGGCACTTAGTTTACATTTTAGCTCTACAGAGAAAGATGTAATAAAAACTGAGATAGCTTCTGTGGATGTTGGGCACCTGCTGGGGACCGGCTGGACAAGAGAGCCTGCTTGGCTAGGTGGGATCTGGAGGGAGATCCGGATGCAGCGAGGGAGGCAGCCTGGGGTACCTGCGGGGTATGTTCTGGCGGGAGCCTGCAATGCGGGGCTGAACAGGGTGCTCTGGGCACTTCCAGGACCTCCAGGGGCCGGCAAGGCAGCAGGAAAGATTCGAGAGACGGGGGCAGAGACCGTGTGCAGGTCGGAGATTCTGAACTGGACTCTATTTAAGTGAGATGGGAAGCCGCAGAGGACTCTGAGTGGAGGAGGGGCGTGGCAGGACAGCCCAAGTTAAATTTACAAACAAACAAGCAAATAAATAAAAACGCTCTAGGGCCAGGGATTTAGCTCAGTGGTGTCACCGCCTGCCTCGAAAGCACAAGGTCCCGAGTTCAATCCCTGGTACCAAAAAAGAAAGAAAGAAAATGGTGTAGGAAGTAAAAGGCACTGTTTAAATGGAAGTCTGGTCACTAATGACCAAAACTGTTCTACTTGGTTTTTGATTCGGGCGAATCAACAAATAGATATAACTGGCTTGTTAATTCTCTTGGCCCCAGATGGTAGGAATCTGTTTCATCAAAATTAAAATTAAAAATGAGTGCCAGATACAGAAATTTTAAAAAAAGAAAAGAAAAACTGATATACTAGTAATAATTTTAAGGATAAAAGACGATAGTCTGGTTGAAGCACAACTTGCAAATTCCAAGACAAATGTTTTAAAGTCAGTGTTAAGTTTCTGAGCCTGTGAGCATCAGCGTTTAGCCCACGACCCTAACGGAGCTCACCTATAAACGGGATGGAAGCCAGGGAGTCGCCGGGCGGACTGGCAGTGGAGGCCTTCCTCTCCTCCATCCTCTTCATGTGCACCTCCCTGCGGGCGTCATTCGGCAACCAGCAGGTGGTGTCGGATCCGGACTCCAGGTCGTTCACTGCCAAGATGTACGACTGGTGCCTCAAAGGCTGTGGCATCTGGCGGCCGGACGGAGGCTTTTCTCGTAGGACGACAGTTTCTTTGCCGTCTAAAGCATGTGACGGCTGGACGTCAGTCTCCTGTAAATTTAGATCCTGATTCCTGTGACTGGCAGCTAATTCCAAATCTGAAGTGCCCATGCACTCGCCCAGCTGAGGGCCAGGCCTGGCAGAAGCTCCAGGGACAGAGGGCGCCTTCCCTGGCTCCCCCTGGGGACCTGGAGCACTCTCAGTCCTGAACCACGTCTGCTGGGTCAAAACGCTGTTTTGATGCAAATGATTTACCGGTCTTTGGTCTTTGACAGAAACCAGTGAATTCTGGCTAAATGATGGTTTTGCCACATGTGCAGAAGGCGCTTTCAGAGAATTACTCCGGACTTTCACAAGAGGCGACCTGTCCTGTGAAATGCCCCGAGGCAGCGACATGCCACCAGCAGTCTGAAAACCTCTGTTGGAAGGCAGAGTTTTAAAATCCAGTGGAAGTTTTTTAAACTGTGACACAGATCCCACTCCTCTACCACCGATCCGCCAGTTATCAGAATTGACCACACTTGGGGCCACGGTCAAATTCGAACCTCGAAAAGACTTACGAACTTCTTGCTGCCTGGATCTTTCATAGATACCTCGTCTGTCATCCTGCTCAGTAAACCCACTCCACTTGTATGTCTGTTTTCGCTCTCCATTGGAATCAGGTATTTGATTTTCAGAACTAATGTTTTCTAAGGTTTCACCCTGTCCCTCGATGTAATCCCACGAGCGAGTTCTGTGATTACTAAAACTAATGGATGGGGACGTCAGCGCTCCTTGAGATGCACTTCTCGGACAGTACTTCATCAGCACCGGGTCCTCCAGCCTCTCCTGGGACACACTGCGCGGTCGGAGCTGGGCGGCCGGGGGTGCCCTGTCCTGAGAGGTGCTTCGGCGGCGTGCCTGCAGGGCTGTGCGGCCAGGCCCCACCCGGCTGTAGTCCGGTGGGCTCTCAGAGGCCGCTCTTAAACTGTGCAACCTTTCTTGAATTGTCCGACAGCCCATATGCAGGCGCCTGTTATCAATATACTCCTTGTAAGTTTTATAGTTTTTCCAGTCTATGTGCTGATGGGAACTGGGGGAACAGTGATTAACAGATACAGAAGGAGAATCCACAGCTTGCGATCTACTGCTTGGGATCCCTTCCGAATGTCCACTGTAATTTGCAGACTTCAGCAGAATTCCAGAAGGTTCTAATGACCTGGAGCCTGCAGTCTGATGAACTACATGGGCAGTAGAAACTGACGATGGTGATATGGTTCTTGACACTGCTTTTAAAGAGGTCTGCTCACTTATACCATACCTCACCTCTTCAGTTCTATGTGAAGGACCTGCATGGTTGTTTCTATTGGGTAACAAGTCTACAGCCTTCTCAGAAGGCAAAATGACAGTTCTTAGATTTTCATTGCAAACACACACTGCTGTGTTTGATTTTGCAACATCTGTTGGTGATGGAGGCACTTGTATTTCCATTCTGTAGGCCCTGCCAGGCTGTGTCAGGACCGGTGTAGTGGTTTGTTGTTTATTCAAGGATGAGTCTGGAGGAGATACTTCAGCTGGTTGTGCCATGGCTGAAGGGGCAGGTGGCAGCCAGGGATAGCAAATTGGTGGAGGCTCAGGTATATTCTGGGCATTGCCACTGTAGGCTTCGTTGCCTTTCAGATAGGCATCTTGAGAATATGCCTGTATGGAAATGAGAAAAATGTCACTCCAAATTCATAAAAAGAACAATAATTTCCAGGTCTTCAGGTCACTACCTTACTACGCCTTGCCTTGTTCTTGAATGACACTCACTATAGCAGGCATGCAAATATAATGTACCAACTTCACAAATCTAGGAGAGTCTCTCGAAAGATGAATAAATTATAAAATTTGCAACAAATACAAATTACAATCACTTATTTTCTCAAAAGATGTGAGATACATCAAATTTCCCCCAACAAAATAGATAAATCCATGTTGCTTCTAAAATTCTCCCTATTGGATCTTTATAATTTTTTCCAGTGATTGACAGGTTAAATGGCTACCCAATAAATCCCAGCAAGAGAATATTCTTATCTTTTGCCAGAGAGAAGGTAAAAATATTAAAAATCTTAGCCAAATAATTTTCATTTTAACCACCACTACTACCATAAATATAATTTCCTGAGGTGTCTTGCCAATTAACTACTGAATCCTTACTAATAATCCATTTTGATAAATTAAGCCCTTCAACAGCCATGCTAAATATTTTGATATTTAAAATTTAAGAGAATATGCATGCTTAATAAAGCACATCCATAAGAAGCACAAACATGAAAAAGGTAATGCCTTTTTCTGTATATCATTATATTTTAAGCTAATGCAAAACTATATGAATTTATTTGGTCTTTTACTTATTTTAAGAAGACATTTCTATATTACTAACAGACAGGCATGCAGCTCAAATTATTTATCAAGTACTTATAAAATTATCTAGAAATATCTTTTAAAAATTTAAGCACTGAAATTAACTACCATGACTACACAACAGAGCTCATCAGTGCAACACAGAACTACATTCAGCAGCTCAGGCAGGTAAGTGTGGTGACAAATCTTCCCTAATCAAAGCAGCTTAACTCAAGACTATCCTCATATCCTGTCTTTGCGTGAAACAGCTTGCAAAGCTCAAGTGCAGCCACAAACATAACAGCAAAGTACCAGGGAAAGGGAGAGATACTTTAAAATATACTGATGCAGATAAATATTATGCTTTAAACACCAGTTATGTACAGGACACAAAAGAAAACAAAGACAGAAAAGAAAGGAAAAACACACATCACAAACACTTTTTTGCAAATTAGTAAGATTAAGGCTATGGAGGAATTTCTGTAAGCAAACTTACAGTTTTAATAGATTGGCTTATTGCAAACATCTATAAAACATGACTTAAGAAGCAAAGAAATGGCTACTGTGCGTTTCTTACCAGTGCTGTGACATCCTTGGTAAACTGTAGCTAGCAGAGAATAGGAAAACATAGTAGAAGCTGCTTACTGATATAAAGACAGAATCATGTTGTCACATTGATGCTGGAAACGGCAAGCTAAAAATACATCTATACTGAATTCTCTGGAAGGTACCAAGAGAGGTAAAGGGCAGTGAAGCATAAAGAATAACTTCAGTATCCTTCTGAGGATCTTTTTCTCAGGCTTTTTTCTGGTTCTTATTTGATTTGTCTACCACTCTTGCAGGCAAAATACATCTGGTGACACGCATCCCTGACAGATATTTTCTTCAATAAGGACTGCTGTCTGGTAATGTGCTACAAAGCTTCCCTTCCACAGCAGCAACATTGTTGTCTCTCATTTCCCCTGAGCTTCTCCCATCCCTGCTTCCAAATGACGAAACGAATGCTATTATGCATTTAAAATAGTGCAACCTCCTCCTTCCCTGGTAAATCAGAGCATAACCACATGCTGTCAGCTGACTGCAGCCACCTTTACACTATAATCTGGGGGAAAGAGACTGTCTTGTTAAATACATTTCTCTCGAAAAAATTAAGATCTTTCAACACTGCACCTTTTGTACTGCTTACTGCTTTACTGATTTATGAAACAACTACTAAGTATTCATAAAAATATTACTTCCAGAGCAATGAATACTATAGAATATAGACTGGAATGCAGTGAGAAATTACAGCTAAGTAAATAGAGAAAACATGCATATCATAATATTTTTACAGCATAAACACGGTCAATACAAATGAGCACTCGCATCTCGGGATGTGCACGGACACAGCCAGCCTATCTTTCTCATGCTGATTATATCCACACGACTGCTTTTCTGTGACAGGGAACATGGAAGAGGCATCCTGCAGTGTTTGTTCAGTGCAGCGTTTTCTGCAGCAGGCTTGTGACATCTCCTTACACACCACTCAAGAGGGCAGGGCCCTCCCTGCAGCCAGTGATGCACGGGAAGCTGGGAAGCCCCTGACACCTCAAAACTCCCGTGACAGTGGCACAGCTGTGAAACTCAGAGGACAAACAGCTCTCAGGGAGCACTGTCCTCCCTCCAGCATCATCAGAGTAGGTGCCTGGGAAATGCTGTATAGAACTAGTAACTTAAAGATAACTCCTCTGTGGAAATTAAGGGGGGAGTATTATCTGTTAGTAGCAGAAATATATAACTCAAACTATTAAATAATTTTATATCAGATAGGCCAAGATTCCCACGTGGCAACCTTAAATAACCTGCAGTTATGGGGCCTCCGTTTTAGGTAAATTATGACAAGACGCCGTCAAGTTCATGCACACAGACCAGGCACCGACAACAGCTGAGCAGAACATCTCACACACAGGATGATTGTCTTAGGTAAGCGGGTCTGGCCGAGACACTAAAGCCTGGGTCCACCCAAGAGCAGTACTGACTCCGTAACAAAGTCTAGTTCACGAGCACTCAACAGTCTTGCTCATTTATCTCTTAATTTCTATTTACCTTAAATAAAGGCTCTTCATTCTCATAAAATTTAAGAACCAAAATCTTTCTAAACTGCATCCATGGAATACAAGTGCCCACAAGGTCACTGTGGTTTAGAAGGTATTCACTGGTAGGTCAAAGACATACCTAAAAAGAGTTCTGGAACATGTATGGCTATTCTAAGAAAGATGGCACAAGACACAAATCAGCTCCCAAACAATATTCAGGAAGTAAATTAGGAGTAGACAATAAGCATTTTAAGGACTTTTCTTCTCCCATGATACCAATAAGCATTCCCCTGGAAAACCAACTCCTACTTCAGAATGCTTTAGACTCCTTTGAGGAGGAAGCTATCAGCAGAGGTTGGTGTGCTGGGCCATCCGGAAGGGGTCACATGTGATGGGTTCACAAGTGCAGTGATGTTTTCTATTTGGGGGCAGAATGGAAATCTATAACCTGCTCACCGCTGTGACTGTGCTGGGCTTTCTCCCGTGTGCCTGGTTACACCAACTCTTGCACTGAGTCACTGTGGTCTGATATGTTGATGTTTTAACTGCTGCCCACTGGAGGTCTTTGAATTGTCAGTGGGCACCAATTAAATGGCACAAAATATCATTTAAACAAAGTCAGTACATTCTTAAATAATGATGTCAATTTACATTCTTAAACACTGATGTCAAAATTATTATGGAATAATGTGACCTAGAAATTTTTTAAACTAATGTCATTAAGAACTGTATATTCACCTAGTAATAACTTTGTTTTTGGTTTTGTTTAAGTCCAAATGGACATTACACAATATATGCAAGTCATTGATGGACATAGACAGATAATAGTTAAGTTTTTTCCAAAACAGAACAAGGAAAAAAAACCCAATTTTTTTCACTTAGCCCTGTTTACACTACTCTACATTCTTTTGTATGTATGTTTTCCTACAGTGGGTTTAACACTCGTATTTTAAAATTGAAGTCATCCCTAAAATAGGATAGTAACAACTCTACTGTGCCTACTACAGCCCAAAACTCTTTAAAAAAGAAGGGGGGAGGAATAAGAAAGGTGAGCCCCAAGATTCTTCATTTGGAATTAAATTGTGAGGAGCCTATTAAATAACATTTAGTATTAACAGTCTAGTTTTGAGTATAGGTATCAGGCCTAACAGTTACTACATAATCCTAAAATAATCATTTCATTCATTTTTAAGTGGTCACATCAAAATCACTATTACCATGCCTATGATACTATTAAGTGGTAAAAACAAGGGAAAAAAAATAGCAAAACAAAATGCCCCACAGAATAAAGAGGCCAGTGAGACTGCAATCTAGGCCCCGCTCATCTTAACAGGTCGACTGTCGGTTTATGGCCATTACCATGAGAATCAGAGTAGCTCTGTAGTTGTCTGGGCAGAGACAGACAACTGACCGGCTTGACGGTGAGGTGAGAGGGGGTAATGTGGGTGGAGACGGACTTAACACCCTTCTTAACTTTAACTAATAATTAACTATTGCTGGGGTTTGAGGCCAGGGCAGGAGAATGCCAGACAAGGGCTCTATCCCTGAACCACACCCTCAGCTCTTTTATACCTTTCTACAATATTTGAAAATTTTTCAATAAGCATGTAACATTCTTATGCTTAAAAATAGATTTATTGGGGCCGGGGATTTAGCTCAGTGGTTTTGCAGACCAGAGTTTGACCCCGGTACCCCCAAAAAAAAAAAAAAATTTATTACAAAAGAACAAAGTAACTGCTCCTAATAGCAAAATATGAAAGCAACTTCCAAAGTTCCTACTTTTTTCCTTGCTTCCCTCCATACTTTAGGCAGAACTTTGATCCACATATGACAAACGTACACAACTTCAAATGGAATATTATGCTGATCATGAGACATAAGAAGTGATTATTTTAAAAGTAACCCTAATAAGTTTAAAGAAAACCTCTGATTAAATTATCTTTTTCAATTTATATCACATGTTCAGGGAGTGGCAAAAAGAGCCCTGGACTCAAAGCCTAGAAAGGCTGAGTTAGGGCTGAGGCAGGAGGACCGCAAGTTGAGCCCAGACCCTGTCTCAACACAAAAATAAAAAGAAGGGCTAGCGATGTGACTCAGTGCACAAGTCATGGGTTCAATTCCCAGCACCATAAAAAACAAAGTAACAAACAAAAATAAAGTGACAGCTCTGTTACTAACTAGCAGTGTGAGTTGTTACCCTAAGTTTACACCTCCCCAAATCATACCACCTTGTGGTTTGGAGTGCAGCCTTTCGTCTCAGACCTGTGGGACATGCCCAAGGTCAGCAGAATTATCAGAACTGCTTAACTTAAAATGTGATTTTTGAATCCACTGAGCCCAATGCTTTACAAAATATGTTGTGTTGTGCACTGAGAAAAATGCCTAAATCTAGCTTTCCCATCACTATTTCATGCAAAGAGAGACAAAGCAGTGGTGGTTTTGTACGCTCCTAAATTCACAGTGCAAACTTCATCACCAACGTGAGGTGTGAGGAGATGAGACTGGCGGTCACAGGGATGCAGTCATCACGCAGGTTCCTGCTTTTAGGAAAGAGGCCCCACTCCGCCACCTCGGCCTCTCCACCAGCTGAAGACGCACGGAGAGGCAGCACCCCCGAGGAGACCAACCCACTACACACTGGAGCGGCCTGAGCCTACATCTTGACTTCCTAGCCTCTGGAGCTAGGAGGAGAAAGTATGTGCTGTTTATAAGCCAGCCAGCCCAAGGTGTTTTATGACAGCATTCTCAACAGACTCAGTCAGTCACCGTCTTTGCCAAGGTGGCTGGATGGGGGAAGGGTGTTTCATTCATGCACAGACAACATTTGATAGGCAAACAAAACCTTTTTGAAAATAAAACAAGTGCTTTTTGTTCTGAGATATCAGTCTAAAATACTTCCGTAGCATACTGCTAGTGACCAGAATGTAACAGTTTACACTGTTAATTGAAAAAATACGTTGTCTTAAAAATGTGGCTGCCAAGCCCACAAGTATTACAAACACTAGTTTTAAGATATAATAAATTACTTATTTTTTACTTATCTTTCTGTGGGTTTTAAACCAAATTGAACTTTCTATGCCATCTCGCCAAAATGAGCTGAGTACTTCTAGAACAATTTTGGTTCATGCATCACTTTAGGAAACAATAACCCCATATGCTCGCAATCCTGCTGCGGCCCAGGCAGACATACAAAAACTACTGTGGCTTTTCCACGGGTAAATGATTTTCACAGTGGCTGTGAAAAATGTTCTTGTTACTGAACTTTTCTTCCCAATGGATATTCAACCTCACAGGGAGAAATACATCTTTAAAAGCCTATCATTTGAGCAACAAATTTAGATCAGTTTAAGTACTTTTCTAAAGGCCCCTTACAGGACATTTTAGCTCTATCTGTGCTAGAGATAGCATTTCTACATATGGTTTCTAAAATCCCAGGTTCTCTCTGTGTTTTATATTAGCTCTAAAAAATGGCACCTGTAGATATCCCAGTGAAAAGTTTTATGCAGACAAGAAGTAGCAACACCCTAATGTCTTTTACAGAACAGTGCATACATCACACACACAGATATAGTGTATTAAAATGTGAGTCATGGCTAAGTTTATGTTTTATCATCTTTTTAATCTTTCTTCCTCCAGCAATATTTAAGCTTAGTAAAGTATTCCATTAAATTTCTAAAAATATCAGAAAAACGTTTTAGACTACATGCTATTTTTCACCTATGTAGCTTCATTTCTTCTAACATATTTTCTTCTCAAGTTGTAGATTCCATTCATTGTGAACACTACTTCTAATGGAAGGAATTTATAAGTGTTAATAATACTGCTCGGCTAATTTAAAACAGTAATATTGATCCAAAAATTAGGAATGGCTTTCATATCCTCATGCTTTAAAAAAAAGAGAGAAAGATTCTCCTCCTTAGTGTTATGTAGTTGCTCTCTGAGCTTTAGTTTTTGGTTAAATGACTACCTACAATGCAACACTGGGTCAAGCTTTTTAGGAATTTCATCCTATAGGTAAACAGCGCTTCATTGTGGAATCAATAAAATATTCTCAGGTCACTTAATTCCACACAAATGACAATGATCTTATTGTTTTGTAAATGTAGAGAAAATTCTAGATTTCTCTACAACCAGAAAGGTGTTCTTTCTAGAATCATTTTTGATGCAATCTACTTTCTATCTCAAAGCTACTTTATTAACATCCATGGCTATAAAGCAATTCATACTCAAAACTTACCACTTGGAGAATGTCTTCATCTTTTGGCATCACACTAAGTTCCAATGTTGTACCACTGAAATTAAATATATTACACTGCTTTAGGGCATGTCATAAAGACTTATAGGAAAAGTTATTCACTTGGAAATATTTTACAATAATTTAATTTTGGATTTTAAAAAGTTTAATTTTCATGACCAAATCATTAGAACAAAAAATATATAACTTTTATACAGGTAAGTCAATAATGTACAAGAGAGCACCCTGCCACATATTTGTGCTATTTATAATCAGTCAAGTCTGTTTTTTTGGTACCGGGGATGGAACTCAGGACCTTTCGTTTTCGAGGCAGGCAGTGGTACCACTGAGCTAAATCCCCAGGCGAAATAATTTATTTTTAACAACTATGACAATATCATCTCAACTATTTGTTTTCAGCCCTATGATTTAATTCTAGAGCCTTTCAGGAACACCTCAAAGTCTTATTTCATTTTCATGTTATAAACATTGTTAAACATAGTGGAGAGGTCTCTGGTTTAAAAGGTCAAAGTGGGGTGGGGCACAGCTCAGGGATAAAAGCGCTTGCCTCAAAAACAAAAGGTAAGAGAGACATTATACTGAATCCTGAGATCTAGAATTACATTTAGATATAGCAAGGGTAGTGATGTTCCATCCACCAAGTGTGCCAACAGCTCTTTTAACAGTATCGGATTTTTCCTCCAATATAAATCAACAATTAAGCAAACAGCCAAAAATCTAAAATCTAATAATTTCCCAGTGTTTCTCCTTGGCAGATTTGAATATTTTAGGTTCATAAATGCTAAGAGAATGGCAAATCCACGAAAATAACAGGATCAAATAAATATAACTAGTGAAATTAGGGGCATCTGTATTTCAGAAAAGTTGTCTGAAAATGCATACTGATGGCTCAGAAAAATTCTTCTGCAAGAATACATTTTTACATTAGTGCACTGCAGAATCTCAAATACCGCCACATTACCCACTTCTACCAACTGCAGACAACAGGAACACAATTTTTTCTTTTAAAGAGTAGGAAAAATTTATTGAGAGAAAGATAGCTTCTCTCTAAGAGACAGAAGGGGGACCGGAAAGTGGGTTGCCTGCTCACCGAACTTCTCCAAGGTGTTTTATGGGACAAAGCCACGAGGTGAGGTGGAGAACACAATTTTTAATAGAAAATAAGATCATGAAAAAAACAGCATTTCTCTAATTTTCAAACTGCTTTTATTGGCTGAAAACTGAAAATTAAGACAGTTATTCCAAAGTGTTATTTACTCTGAAAGATCTACACCAGTAACAGAAAGGTTATGTAGATCTTGAAGAAAACAAAGATCAAGCTGTAGTTACTTAGAATATTTTAAAAGAAGATATACTAACAAACACAAAAAATCCTTAAGTTATAGGCTGACAGAACACATTGGTGTATTTATGAAGATTTCAGTTATTGTTAAGAAACTAACATGTTGGTAGATCTCTCGAAAGAAGAAAAAAGTTATTTTTCTCTAAAAATTGTATTAAATATTAAAACACTACAAAGAATACTTTGAGATCAATTATTAGATTTGCCCTAAAGAGCATGATAAATATCTTTAGAGAATGAAGACTTTCATGAATTATAAGAAGGTGAGTGAATCTAACAGAAAACATTAGCTAACACCAAAGTCATGGTATTTTGGTCTGGGAAGAATTATCTTAGAACAGTTCTGATCCGAAAATCAGACCCAGATTCCTTGCCTATTCTCGACAAAAATCCAGTATGATAACCCCTTTGGATTTAATTTCTTTATTCGTTATTTAAAATTCTCTAAGGTGTGTATGTGAAAGAGACACAGACTAAATTATCTTTAAGGCCCTACAGTCATTCCATAAATATGTATTTATCTTTAGAATTCAAAATTCTATTATTCTACAAATTGCAGGCCAAGAATTAAAAAGAAATATCCTGTTAAGTTGGTTAAAACGAATGAATTTATGACAGAAAGCTTATTCAGTAAGAATATTCAGCAAGATACATTAAAAGTAATGTACCTAGAGAGGTTTTAAACTAGGTTTACATTTGTTTTAAACATTATGTATTTGCCACTTTAAACAAAAGTAGGTAAAACTTACAGTAAGTGTAAAATGTGTACCTCTCTGACTCTGAGGTATTTTACTCACAAATCTGACACATGTGCCAAAGCAAAACCATCAGCTCAGCTGTCCTTAGGCAGACAGTTTTTGGCAAGTCTCAAATGCTGCTGCAAAATAATACAGTTCCACATCCGTGACACCTCAATTCTTTACAAGGGTACAACAGTACATACCATCTACTTGCTCTATTGATTTATAAAGCCTGGGTCTGGCCAAAATTCACTGTGTTTCAAGAGCCTTACCTGTTCTGGATTAGAGCAATTACTTGGGAATAGGTCTTTCCAATGACACTTTCTCCGTTGACTTTAATGATCCGATCACCTTCAAAGAGGAGCAAAAAAAAAACAACAAAAAAAACCATACACACCATGAGGAAGTCCTAAAGAAAGTCACCTTTGAATCCTTTTTGAAATTTCTTTTTGAGAACGCCTTTATTTTGTGCAGTGCTGGAGATGAGACCCAGAGCTTCACACGTGCCTGCCAAGTGCTGTACAGCTGAGCACATTCCCAACCCCGAGAATGCCCCTAATTTGTAATGATGCTTTCTCATTAATTTTTAAAAGTACCTTTTAAAGGGGGAATCTAAATTTTAACATAACCAGCTTCTTATGAAACATCAGCATGTTCTAAGAGTTCTAGACATTGATGAATTTATAAACTTGAAAAGGTAGTCACCAAGTGACCACAACTACACCGTTTATAGCCCTATTAGTTGTTTTCTGAATTACAATACTACTAGCTCCTTCTCCATTTTCCTTGTCATTTCTGATAGAGAATATTATTCAACAGATTTAAAGTATTGTTTTTATTTCATCCAAGTCATCTACTTTCAGTCCACCTTATTTTCTTGTAGTATTCTTCCAATCTACATATTTGGTTTATTGACTAGTCTGTAATATGAAACTAAAAAATACATGTTTTGGTCTTTATACATATTAATACATTGGGGAAAAATACATTGAATTATTCAGAAAAACTCAGGAATCAAAAGGAAAAGACAGAGAAAAGGGACCAACGAGAGAAAGGACAGAGGAAAATAGAAAAAAAATACAATTTTTATGTGTTTACAGCATCCCTACTTCATCTCAACTTTGCAACATCTAGATTATCAAAACTGATACATTCTATTTAACAGCCTCCCACATGTACATTAATATGCACACAGAACAATGATATTAAAATTAGGTTTATTTTATATATGCTGAAAAAGATAATTAAAGTAAGCAATACACAGTGATACTACCAATCAACCACCGCATCCAGTTACACTGGAAACCTAAGGCACTCTATGCAGCAAATCAATCTGCACTTGGCTGATCAAACACTTCTAGAACTTGGAAATCCAAGAGTATTTCAATCATATCAAATACTCATCAGTCTGCCATTTTGTAATCCTTTGTAAAAAATTTAGTGTATGAAAAATAACTTCTCAAAAGTGTTTCCACATCTGTTATCTGAAAGTGCTCATGATTTATAATTTTTATTATTTCTGTTCAACCCCATTCATTTGTGTATCAAGAAATATAATTAGGTCTCAAAAACAGTACTAACAGATGTGAAGAAAAAGGGACAAATATACAGAAGGGTAGAAAGGAAAAAGTATGGAATACACTGTATAAGAAGGAAGAAGCAAAGAAAATGAAAAGGCACTGTTTAAAGATTATCAGCACCTGTGCACAGTCCGGCTTCAAAGGCAGGTCCTCCTTCTTTAACTTGTTTAACAAATATGGTGTCCATTGGCTCCAAGCGGTTTCTCTGTTTTCCTATGGGAGAAAAAGAAGCCCAAGGCATGATTTTACTTCACAATATTTTATTAAAATACATAACAGATATCGTTGGAGTATTGATCACATATACTGAAATGGATGCTAAATTCATACTACTGGAGTTTCTTCCATCATACAACAGCAACCACAAAACTGAGTATGTTCCGTGTATCAGTTACTATATATATACTATACATGCCTTGGAGCTGCTGATTTAAATGGCAATAAGCATTGCTACCACCACTGCACCCAAGGAAACTGAGGCTCAGAGAGCGAGTAAATCCTCTGAGGTGACTTAGCTAGCAGTGGCAAAGCTCGTTACCTAGGTGACGTAGTGTGCTAAGCACTCAGATGCAACAGTTACCAAGATGTATCTCTTCCCTTTCAGGGATGCTGGCAGAAGGAAGACAAATAAATGAAACACAAAAAGCAATCAGATGCAAATATGAACTACATTCATGGCAATGAGGAGAACATGACCAACTGTAACACAGTCCGTTTTTCACAAGCTGCTGTCCATGGATCATCTATTGGCATTAACATCTAGGGTGTTTGCTAAAAATGAATGTTCTGGAGTCCAAATAGAAATGTTCTTTATTAATAGGTTTCCCAGGTGATCCTAATACACACTAAACCTTGGGAATAACAGTTTGAGTAAATACAATAGAAGGCAAGGGAAGATTCACAGGAGAGAGAACATTTTGGCTAAATGACAAAGTATCGTAAGTACCGCATGGGGACAAAAGGTGGTTAGTGGTTCTCTACGTGTGGTCCCCGGAGTAGTTGCATCAGTATCACGTGGGAATGTGTTAGGGATGCAAACTGTGGACCCTGCCCCAGACCCCCCAAATTAGACCCTCTGAGGTGGCTGTGATGTACACTCGAGTTTGAGAACCCCTGAAGTAGAAGACGTATCCCACACAACTAGAGAAGAATATAACTGAGAAGATGAGACACACACAGATGTGCAGTAATAATGAGTATCAAATATAAAATACTCATAATGATTGTGGAAAAAAACCAAGTTTTTAATAATGGTATATACAAAAGGTGGCTCAAAATAAGTTTCTTAATGGAATGCCTACCAGCAGCCCCCTTACATACTGAGCTATTTTCTTTGAAAGGATCTTCTAAAGCAACAAATGGATAACTCAACTACTTCAGCCATAGAATATAGCAGAAATTGTTTCAGAAGCAAGGAGACATGGATTCAATTCCTTGCTCTGCCATTTTAAATTCTGTGTATGTGCCAGGCTTTTTCTTCACAGAACTTATGACTTGGTGCCTGAAATTATCTTTTTATTTTCTTACAGGCGCCATATGTCTCTCCCACTAACTGAAAAACAGGAAGTTTATCATGCTCACTAATATCCACAGTGCTGGGCATCAATCAGGCATTCTGTAAGCAGCCATTAAATAAATTCATGGTGATAATTCACACAAGCCTTCAAGGTGGGTGTTATGATCCTAAAATTTTCAACTGACTAAAGAAGAAACAGAGACTAAGCAACTTGCAACAAGCAGAGTAGGAATTTGAGCCTAGGACATAATTCAAATATGGCATTACAAGCCATTTCAGAACCAATTGGAAGTAATCCGTTTACAATTACAGTCATGAGCCACATAATGGCACTGTGGGCAGCGCACACCAAACACAACGGTGGCGACAGCCTAGGTAGCAGGCCATGCTGTCTCAGTCTGGGTAGGTATACAACACGGCATTCACACAAGGACAAGGCTGCCTGACAATGCATTTTGCAGAATACACTGCCATCGAGCAACACATGACTATAGTTTAAAAGGAAAAGAGTTTCTTTTCAATTGAAGTCACTCAAATGCAAACTGAATTCCAATCAAGTTGGTCAAAGTCTCGGTCCCTCCGTAGCCGACCCCAAATTTACAAGAGTTAACATTAAAGAAAATCTTCTTGGCTGAAGAATTCAGGATTCACTCATTTTTGCTGAATTAAAACACTGCTTGTATGGAAAGATTTAAATAATATGAAACATTGATATCTTCTACTCCAGTGTTTCTCAAAGGCGATTATACTAGACTTATATTTAAAAATACAAAATGTAAATGACCATTCATGAATTCTAGAAAATAATAAAAAGTTGGCTGAGTAGCAATGGAGTGACTTTTGAAAATTCTGAAAAGTTCACTTACACAGAATAGAGGCGCTCCAAAATAATTTGGTGCTAATTTCTATAAAGGAAATACTAATTTTGCAATGACTGCCGTTGTAAAGTCAGAGATATTTTGCCATTGACAAATCTGTCAATACACTATGCCTGAAAACATATGAAGATGGAACAGATTAAAAGAGAGGCCAATCCTACAGTAAGCACCATCACAGCTGCCGAGACTCATACTTTGATCCTCATTCACTTTCTGTTCTGGACTTTCTCCCAAATTCTACCCCAATATTATTTAATTCCCGCTACGTAAAACTGCCTCATAAGCACCCTCTGAACGTAAGCTGGTTTCACTAAGGAACACACACTTCTCTTCAATTTCCACACTCCTTGACTCTAAGCCTTAAACACTTGGCTTGTTAATTTTAAATGTCTTTTTAATTTACCTGGTCTGTAATTCTGCTCAAACTAGAAATCAAAAGTATCAAACTTAAAATAGGTATCATTCATTCTCCTGGGTTTTTACTTTTTGAAAGTAAATTTTTGGATGCTGTATGCAAAACTAACAGCCCAATCTAACTTGTGATATAATTCAACAGGAAATGACTCCCTTACTTTCATATATGGTTACTTAGCAGATAAAGACAGCTTTCCTGGCAATCCCTAGTAAAAGCCTCTTTTAATTCCACTCCTATGCTTCATAATTTCTCAGTTTTTAAAAACATATATAACATGTTTCAAAGATCTGTTTAAATATCTTATTTAAGTGTCATTCCCCTGATATTATCTAAATACAGGAAAGGAAATGCATCTTTTTAGCACATACATGTAATTAAATCTTTCTGTTTTTGCAGAAAGCTGAGGAAAAAACACAATAATCTTACATGGATGAAAAAGGCTAAAACAATCAGATTTAAACAAGAGGAAAGAAAATGTATGTATGGATTTACCTGAATATTACATTACAAAACAAAGAGAATGCACGTAATTCTACATTGTAGTAGCAAAATTAGTTGGGGAAAATAACTTGAGTACAACAATTAACAGCATATAAGTAGTAGCTACCATCCAAATCTTGAATGTCCTGGAGAGTTTTATTCTGTGTCCAATATAATTCCATAGTTAAGACGTTGGGCCCTGTGACAACGTTGTATGGTTTAAAATCCGGCTCTACCATTTATTTTTCAAGTAAGGCTAACAGATTTTGCAATATTTGATACTTATTTAAACTAAAGATTATTATTCATTGATTTGAAATTCAAATTTAAATTGGCATTCTTTATTTTATCTAACATGTCTACACCCAAATGATCTTACATAAATTATTTATAAATACCCCACTTTACTCAACTGAAAAATGGGGATGATGATAATCATTCCCCCAGCAAGGTTGTTCTAACAATTAAGAGAAACAATCCATTAAAGTGCTAATGCCTAGTACAAGCAGGTATTTAATAATATTATATATTATTATGTTGGCCTGATTATAAACCTTCTGAAGCTTTATATACAGATCAGGGATGAGTTAGGCTAGGTAATATAGAACCTGTCACCCTGCCAGTAATCAATAAACAGTGGCTAATAGGATATTTCTGTTATGAGGAAGCTGGCAAATATTAGCCAAAGGAAAAAGAACACAAAAGAAGGTAGAATGGTAAAAGAGACTGTGCTAAAAAAAGTTACCAGTGCCTCTAAAATGAACTACATACCTTCTAAGAGACTGGTGTTTAAAACCAGAATGCTATATCTCTAGTCCACTGTTAAGACTTAACCCAGAAGGATGATTTAAACCTCTAATCTAATGACTTTTTCTTTGGAAAATGCTAGATGCTGAAGTCACTTGCAACATGTAAATTATTTGTAAATTTAAAGTATACAAAGTGAACAGACTAAAGTAAATAGATTTACTTTACAAAGAATGAAGTTTGAACTATGCCAGTTACAAAAGGACTGTGAAATGAAGATCGACAGACAAATGGAGCACTTTTTTTTTTTTTGGTACCGGGCATTGAACTTGGGACCTTGTGCTTGCAAGGCAGGCGTCAGAACCACTGAGGTAAATCCTCGGCCCAAAATAGTACTTCTTTAACAGACTGAAAATAATAGCTATCAGGTTTTGTTCTTCTGAGTTTCAAAAAAAAAAAAAAAAAACAACAACAACAACAACAAAAACTAAACTAAATAAATAGAACTAAATAAATAAATCATTTCTGCCTATTTAGTGAGTTTTTTTTTAAAAAAAGTATTCTTTCTTTGTTGTTTTTTTAAAAACCTTTATTTCTACATTTAAAAAGGTGGATAAAGTGAAAAGTACTTCAATATAAAAATGAGATGTGAAGAAAGTGTGCCCTCCACAAAGGTAGAAAGCTAAAGACATATCTCATCTAATGGAATATGAAAGCATTAAACATTATTTAAGGAAAATCAAATAGCTTATTTAAATTGATACCTATTTTTCCAGATTTAAAAAAAAGTGGGGTTGGGGGTGCAACTCAGTGGCTTGCCTCACCATGAGCAAGGACTCATCCATCCCCAGCACTGCAAAAACTCAAATTCAGAATGTTAGCTGAAACAGATATTAAAATTAAATCTGAATGGTTAAAAAAAATCTTCTCTTTGATGGAGAATAAATTTAACACATGCAGAAGCCATGTAGACAGAGTATGTAGAAGAATTTATTGAAGAAATTAAGAATTAGTATGCATCTACTGAGCCACATAAGTGAGAAGGAATAAGCAACACCAAACTCAGCCTGGTGGTTACTTCTGGAGGGAGATAACAGAAAAAGAGTGGTGTAAAGGCCTTAAGTACATTTGCCATCATTGGTGTGTGTGTGTGGTGGTGGGGACATGGCTTCACTGC